TTGGGTCCACTGTTGTTTCTTGTTTTTATTAACAACATTGTCGACAATTTCACTGTACCTCATCTTTTATATGCCGATGATATGAAGTTATACTTAAAGATAGGAAATTTACAGGACTGTGTTGTACTGCAGGAGAACCTTAATAGACTGAAACTCTGGTGTGAGTTGAACAAATTGCCCTTAAATGTGAAAAAGTGCAATGTATTGACTTTTTCTAGAAAGAAAGATGGTATCTATTTTCCGTACGATATTGATACTGTACTTCTTAATAGACCAGATGTTGTTAAAGATTTAGGAATCTATTTTGACCCTAAACTCACTTTTAAGTATCATATGCATCATATTGTGTCGGAGGCTAACAAAAGTCTGGGTTTCGTAATTCGCAATGCTCGGGATTTCTGCAATGTTGATACAGTTAAGTTGCTGTATAATTCTTTCGTTAGACCTCGATTGGAATATTGTTCCCTGATTTGGGCTCCAAGTTATGTTAGTTATATTGATTTGTTGGAAAGAACGCAGCGCAGGTTCTTGAAGTTGTTAAACTATAAAGACTTGAATGTATAGCCTCCGGTAGGGTATCCGCAGCACTTGCTCCTCAAAAAATATAACTATCAATCTTTAAAATCTCACCGTGATATGCACAGTGTTATTTTTCTTTTCAAGATAATAAATGGAAATTTGGATATACCCGAAATTTTACAAAAACTTAACTTTAATGTGCTTATAGAAGGAACATTAAAGTTAAGTGGTCTAATGAACACGGTCTAATGAAACTTTTTATTTGAAAACAGTTAGTACTAATATACTACAATATTCTCCATTATATGTTATGTGTAGAAATTTGACAGCTGTGCAGGACAGTATAGATATCTTTAACACTAGAATCTCTATTATTAAAGAATTATTTTGATGTTCTCTTTAGTGTTTCTGTTTGTGAAATATTGTTTGTGATTTACTCTGTGATTTTTTGCTTTATGGTATATGTATATGTATTTATTGTGTTCATTTTCTTATGTAATTTTTCCCTGCTCTGTAAGTGGGTTTATCCCGTTGAGTAGGTGTAGATAATAAAATAAAAATAAAATAAAAATTGCTCTTTCTAAAAACAATAACATGTCTTGCAAGTATTCTAATTTAATATTTGTATGTTTCAACATACAGTCCCAAGTATATCCCGGAAGCGTATAGTAATGAGCGGGATCTAATCCATACGTATTTAGACATCTTTCTCGAACATTTTCAAAAATATCTGCTAATAGCAAAACGTCAGTTTTTAAATATAATTGAGTATACTCTTGAAGATTACCAATTTTAAAAACACTCCACACCTTTTGAGCGTGATTGTAGTCATCTTCTGAAATATCTTCATCATTTAACTTGTTATAAAAATCAGTCGAACTAGGAAGTGATGTTTCTTTCAAAACTTGCATGGAATTTATGTAATCATACGGAAATATTCCCTTTCGAGTAATTAAGTTAAAAGATTCACCATTTAAATGGGAAAATTCAGTTTTTAATATTTTTAAATCTTCTTTCCGTAAAATAGATGCTAAT